CAAACGCTGCCTCATACTTACAACTAACAGACACAGCTAAAACCCCCTTATTGCTTGCAAAGGGCTGTTGCCTCACAGGCAACTGTTCCAAGAGTGCAACAAACCAGTGTGGAGTTCTGGGGTCTTATTCCCCAAAAGAGCAAGGTGTGCTCCTGTGCTGCCCATGCTTCTGATGTGCTGAGCACAGGTGAGTGTTGCTCAGTACCGTCTAGGATCAGGCTTATAAATGTTTGTACTGCACCAGCTGATGTGCCTCTGATGGCCTGACTGGTGATGTCCATGGGGATTTAAAAGACTAGGTACAGTGGCAGTTATTGTAACTCCCTGACAAACAGAATCTTTGCTGCAGGTTTCAAACTCATCAGTGAAAATACAGAACCCTCTCCTGAATTAGTGGCAGGGTTTTGTGAGCAAACACAGTTTGGGGAGGTGCTTCTCTTCTTGGGGTCTAGAGCCCTACTTCTGCACATCGTCATGTTCTGTCATTCCATTCCTATTTGCTTTTAATCATCAAAAAGGAGGGAGAAAGAAGTAAATGAAAAGAGAGGAACTGAAAATTGGGAGAGCAAGCACACCCTGGCAGATGAAAAGAGCAGAGTCCTTCATTGTGAATATTTCGAATGAGTTTTGTGGCTTTTGGTACAAAATGGCATTTTTATGTACCTTCTGTCTGGTAGTAGGAAAGGGAATAAGCTATAGTAATTCTTACAGTAATTCTTTCTTTCCTTTCGTCTGTTGAAGCCTAATAGCTTGGGTCTGGTTCCATTGACTTGATGATCTATTTATTATGTAGTCTAAAGTTTTAACTCTCAGGGAAAAATGACCAAAAGATGAAGTTACCTAGACTTAGAGCAAATTAAAATGAGAATGAAAACTTTTAAACTACAGTTGTGTAAGCTTTAATGAAGATTCTGGAAGAAGATGTCATTCAGGCCATTATAAAAAAGGGATCTTGGGCAGCACCAGCATCTTGGAAAGAGAAGGTTTTTTACAGCACATGCTATTAGCGAAGGCTCAGCACACCAGGTGTCAAAAGACCACATAAAAACTCTTTTGAGTCATAGGTAAGAGTTTCCATTGACTTCAGTGGTCTGTGGATAGGGCCCCTCTTGCATAATTTTAATCCTTTGTGTTATCCCAGCTGACTGCTGTAGAAATGATTGCAACAGCCAACAACAGGGAGGCTTACAGCTCCCAAACAGCAGGCAGCAGGTGAGCTCTTATGAGCAAGATCTTATTTTCATGCAAATGACCTTGGTAAGTGAGAATAAGGAACTTGAGAAAAAAACACCTTGAATAGAAGACACCAGCAGAATTGTTTTTCAACTGAGCGTTTTCAGTGTAGGCCTTTATGCTTCAGATAAGACATTTATTGCGAGGCAATGAATTAAAGTGAATCTCTATTGATAGTAATGCCCTGTCATAATAAATTCAACCTCTTAGATATGTGTCATGAGGTATTCTTCTGAGTCCTCACTGAGTGTGCCAAGGTTAGAAGATGGCCAGAGGGAAACTGGGGGCATGGACCGTGTGTTATCATCATCATCATCATCATCATCTTACTTCTACAAGCATCCCACTCTGTGGGATTTCATCAACTAGCATTAGCATTAATAGAGTCAGTGTTAACCTGCTATGCTCAGGTAATCTTGGATAATGGGTTCCCTCTACCTGTGTGAATTGTGATGGGAGCGTGTTGTTAGTTCCTTGGGGCATTCCCAGCCTGCCACTGAGGAAACCTAAGTGAGGTGTTCCCTGTATGTATGGTATGAAATTTGGCCCCACTGAGCCAGTGGAAGAAGTCCATTGCCTTTGAAACATCAGAATTTCACTCACGCACATAAAATCCTTTATATCTCATTTCACAGTATTTACATACTGCCCTGGGAGACTGCAGGTCCCGTGGCCTGTGTGAGACTTTTCAGCAGTATCATAATACAAAATGTATCTACATGTAAACATTTCAATTTATTTTGTGTCTAAGAACAGGGAAATGCTGTGATATCTTTACATTTTCCACACCATGGTGCCTGATCTACTACAAATGATAGGTATTTCTGAAGCATTTTGATTTAGATATGCATGTGTGCATACATATATATTTTGGTAGGTGTTTGCTGGTGTGGTTTTATCTTTTAATGACATAGATAGGGATATATATTTTAAAGATATTGTAAGAATATAAATTAGGGTGGCTTTTGAAGTGTTCACTGAAAGTATTTGCCAGAAATGTTGTTTTCTTGCGTAACGTATACTGTAATGCTTTTCCTGCTAAAAAAAAGGAAAAAATGGAGCAAATTTTGTGTAAGTAAATACATTCCTTTTCACCCCTAAGTGTATCGCTGTCAGCTGATATAATGGGTTTCTCAACAGAGTTGAGGCAGATGAGTGGGCTCCAAATCCTGAAGGGAGGCAGACAGCACAGCTATTTCGTTTTTAGATTTCAAATGGTTTTGAGGGCCTGCCATGAGATGAGGAGAAGTCGTGGGCTGTGATGGTTGTTAAATTACAGAGTGTGTTTTTTGACAGCCCAGCAGAGCCCTAGCTGGGCAGGAATTCATTACACCCAGGACGCAGAGAGTGCAGGGCTGGCACAGTGCGGGATGGCTGCAGCTCCCAGCCAACAAGCGCTGTGCCGGGCATTTCCCAGAGCCCATCATCCAGGCCTTCTGGCTGCTCTGCAGCTCGGTTACTGATGGCCCATCAGCTGGGGGTCATGGCAGCGGCAGGGGACCACAAGCTGTGATTCAGGGAGTGCACTGTTAGGCATCCATAGCTTGCTGCTCCCAGCCAAGAGTGGCACATTAGCTCCACCGCACACATTATGATAGTGCCAGCAAAGTGGTCAGTGCCTGACTGGGATATGCTGCAGCCTGCGGAGTGGCTGAGGGCTGCAGCACAGAACATATGGAGATTATTTCCTGAATTTATGCAGCACATGTTTTCCTATAAATTAAATTCAGAGAAAATGTGTATCATAATAGGGTGATGCTCACAACAGCCTTCCCTGTTATGAATTACAATGACCTCTCTCAGCTCGCTGGGTGCCCAGTGAAATGGCTTCATGGAGTTGCAAACAACAGTGTATATGGTGTCAAGGTTTGAAAGCCTGACCAAAAGGCTCTCTAACTAAAAGCAGGGCCTCCTTTTCCTGTTTGTTTTTTATCCCATTCACTGCTTCTCTTATTCTCTCCAGAAACTGCCCAGTTTCCTCTTGAAGTGCTGAGCTGTCAGGAGTGCTGAGTGCTGAGCAGATGCCCGGGTGTCTGCTCCATAATGAACTGGGTGCTGCCCTTGCTGAGGTGCTGCTGGACAGCAAGGGCAGCTCTGGATGTGGCAGCAGCCCCACTTCATGGGTGAGAGTGGTGCCAAAACATCAGGACAGGGCTCTTTAACCAGAATAATGAACAAAGCAGCGCATGTCCTTTCTATGTCCCTGGACTGAGGAGCCCAAGTCATTTTTTAGGCAAATATTTGATGTTTTGTTGCCTGAGGCTGGGGTAAAATCATCTCTTCCTTTTCCCTGGGCATGCTGAAGCAGTTGAAGGAAAAATATAGTAGAGACAGTCATTACAACTACCTTCCTAAAGCACGAAAAATATGTTATGTTCCTTACAACTCTGTGTGTGAAATCTTTAGCAGAAGAAATGTGGGAGCAGAGCAAACTAGAAACTCATAATTAAAATATAAATATATACATGTGTGTCTATGTGTGTGTGTGTGTGTGTGTGTGCATGTATAAAAATATATATAAAAGCAATGGGTACCAGACATCAAAACAGTCTGGGGGTTGCTTTGGGGCAAAGCACTGTGGAGTCAGTACATACTAATAGGGTGTTCTCAGCTGTGGTGAGGGACTTGCTTTTTCATTTGCAGGTGATTAGAGGCTAATAGGATTTCAAAGATTTCTGGGAGGGAACAGTTCACATCTCATTGCATTTGAGTTTTGTTTTTTTTTGATGTTTCATTTATCATGCTGATACCTACCCTCAGAATACATTTTATTACTCTCCTGTTTAGCTTCTCGAACTGAATTTTCCCCTTTGGTCCCTTGCTGCTGTCTAATTGGCAGTTTTCAAGTCATTTGGGACTTTCTGAAAGATCCTAATCAGCCTTTTGTGTGATAGAAGAGAATGGATCATTTGAATTAAAAATAATGTTGTGAATCTTTTTAGGTTTAGTCCTCTCTTCTTTGGCTTTCACTAATACATGCATGATGTGGCTTGTACCTTTATGTTTTCTCAATGAAAATTAACAATTTGAAAGCAACTCATGAGAACAACCATTACAGCTGAATTTTGTCAGTACAGACTGCTTCTGTGACTGACCTTCTCTGTTTAGTGCCAGTAGTAGCCCTAGTTATTTTTCTTTAGCAGCTCACATGTTGGGAACACACACTTAGCCTGTAAATATGGATTCAGGAGGAAAATGAATACAGCAGTGTTCAAAGCAGCCAAAAGCTTAGAAATAATGTTCTGCTGTGACTTTTCCAAACTGACATCTTGATGCTGGGATTATAAATGAAACCATTGTTCCGGCAAAGGCCAAGACTAATAGAAAGCCTTTATTACCGGTCCATTGGCTAATTCTGCTTGTCTAACCCCTTTGGATGGACACAGTGTCAGAAAACATAGTCACAGAGGTTGCTTTGTGTGAGATTTGGCCTGCTGCATGATTACATGGGGGCACAAAGATATCTCAATGACAAGTGTTCTTTGACTAAAATTTGTAAAGTCATTTTCTTTCCCTAGGCCTTGGAGAGGAGTGAACTGATTTTTAATCTACAGCTTCTATGAGTGATATTTGCTTTGTGTCCTATCACCTTTCTATTCAGCTGTTCTCCCGTTCCAAGCAGGTAAACCTCTGCTTAGAAGAAATTGTTTCTTCTGCTGAGCCTCGGTGCAGTTGACAGCTGTCATATACAAGCACTATACTTGAATACATGTCTTTAGAACTAGACAGTCTTAAAGGGCTTTAATCTTTTGTCTTTGCACATGCAGGGAATGCCTAGGAGCCAGAGACCCTTACTGCGGCTGGGACAGCAAGCAGAAGCGATGCACCACCATTGAGGACAGCTCCAACATGAGCCTGTGGACTCAAAATATTACTGAATGCCCAGTAAGTGGAAGGAGTGGAAATATTTTATATATACTGATATGTGTATGTGTCCGTGTGTATGTGTAGAAGGGAGAGGGAAAGTGAGTATGTGGCAGCCTGTCGTGAAGGCAGTGGCACACACTTAACACTTGTGCACAGCCTCCTGTTTGAAACAGAGAGACCCCAAATGTATTTGTTTGCTCCAAAAGATGGATCCCAAAGCAAGCATTCAGTCCTCCTCATGTCCCCCCATGCCTTGAGTGAAAAAGAATGGATCATGCTGTTGGGTTACTGCTGAGAACCACGTAAGCCCCAGCTGAAACTTGAGCCTTTTCAGGGCTGCTCCACTATCTTCCCAATCTCCTTGGCTTCACTGCAGGTTGAGAAAACAAGAATTTGGTTAACTTTCCTCTTGGATCCCTGAGTTGGGCCCGGTAGACAACACTGGTGAAAAAGTGTTGTACTTGGGAGGAAGAGCCATCCAGGCAGCAGCAGAGAAATTATTGCATGGATGCTTTGAAGAGGGAACAAAAGGATACAGTGTGTGCTAGAGAAATTAAGGGAAGAGGGGAGTGTAAGGAGGAGGGGGACATTAGAAAGACAGTGTTGAATTCTCTACAACAGACCAAAGACTGAATCTACATGATATTGCAAAGAGATGGCCTTCTTTCCTTGCCCTGGTCTCCATGAGATGCATGAAAGGAAAAAAACTGTCTCTGCTTGAGTCAGTTTGAGTTGGCTCTCCAGCTCATTTCCCAGCCACCCACCCTCCTCTGATGACAATATCCAGTTCCTGGCTGTGATCCCCAGAAGCTGTCTAGCCAAATATAATTCCTGCTGCTTGAACTGTACCTGCAAGGTGGCTGGGGAGGAAAACCAGTCTTGTTAAATAAATTGAGAGTGGGGGAGAAATTCTCATTAATGTTCATCATTATTATCTAATGTCAATTAGCATGTTAATACTGCTAAGTCCGGTAGATAGAGAGAGGGGACTGGATGGGTTATATCTTCGGTATGCTATTTCTATCTGGAGGTGCTGGGATGTTTATTCCCCTTATCTTCCTTATTTCTCAGATATTTTCCCAGGAAATATTAGTCATTACTTCAATCCATCCTCAGCTTGGCAGGCTTAAGTTTTTCACTGCTGGATTCAGAGGCTTGTGTGTTTATAACCCTCCTGTGTTGAACTGGGATGCAGTGCTTCTTGATTGCCCATGCTGTTATCTCGTCCTGCTTAACGCCTGTGTCTGTTGATAGGTGTGTGAGGTGTTAATCCTCTAGTTTGAACATGTCTGCTGTGGTGCACACTAGGGAACATGCTACTCCAGATCATTGTTTCAAGGTCAAAAAATTCCAGCACAGAATATTCAGGAGCTTTGGCTGTTCCTGGGGTGCTAGTTTTACATTTGTTTTAGCATTTCCATTGTAGATTATTTTCATTGTAGGTGCTCTCATTCTGTTACATATATAAGCCTTGTGCTTTTCGACTGACAGGCTGCCAAGCTGTTTAAAATCCACATGCAAATGCTTTCTTTTTTGTTCACCTCTTCCTCTTACTGGAATGAATTCACCAGTAGTGTGGAGTGGGATGGCTCATTTAAGCACCTACATCAGCAATATCCAAGTATTTCCTTGTATTCAGTGCGGGATAAAGGTCACGGTCAACAGAGGCAAATGTCTAGGACAGCATATGTAGGTGACTACTGGAAAGGGAGGGGAATACAGTGCTGAATTTCAGTCCTGGAAAAGACCTGTCTGGGAATTTAGTTGGAAGAGTTACTGTCATAAGAAGTCCTGGCTTTTCTCACCCCACTTTTCTGGGCTGAGCACCAGGCGCTCAGCTGTGCTGGTACAGCTGTATGTGAGATCACAGTCTTGTGAAATGGTGTAGATAAAAAGCACCCCTCCCAAATAAACTTTTCCTAACCCAGATAATGTCAGTGAGTTCTTCTGCAGCCTAGCCCACAAACAGATGTCCTGGCACAGCTGAGAGACTGGCATGCAGCAACTTTTAAAGCCAGAACTGGCATATTATTGAATTATATCCTACATGGGCCAGGCATTTGTGTGAGTCAATCACAACACTAACATGACTGCTGCTCTTGTGCAAACAGGCTTGTTCAGAGCTAGTCTGAACATCTTTTTACAGCACTACATTATGCCACAGATTCCCTGTCTCCAGCTTTAATATTAAGGGACTTTAGATAGGGGATTAATCATGCAGTGTTAATATAATACCTTGGGCAATAGGTAATATATGTTATTACCAGGTAACACCCAGAAGCTACTCGAGGTCATTACTAAGGTTGCAATGTCAGCCATTTTAACATTAAAAAAAGATAGCACACAAATTCCACCAATTACATGGCTCTTCCATTTATGTGCACATGTTGTATCAGGTAGTTTTGAATGGCTTTTCATGGGAATTGCAAGGAGGTAGCACAAAGTCATAAAGTTCAGTTCCTTGCTCTGGACACTAGTTTGCTGCAAGGAAAATGTGGACATTCTTTTCTCCTAGATTTGATTTTATAAATGGTTGAAGTAGTTTGACTGAAACTTTGCAAAAATTTTCAGCCTTCATCAAACAGCCAACGTGGAAACTTCCAGACGAAGTCATTAAAGCTTGGCAAAATTATAAGCGGTTGATATCTGAATGCTAAGATAAAGAACAGATGAAATGAAAGAATAAGGAATGCTTCTAGTCTTACCTGTAATATCAGCATAAACATGGAAAATATCCTGGTAGCAGGGATTAGGAATGGCCAGTGTGAATTTTCAGATCATGCATTTGAGCCTTTAGACTGTACAAGGAAGAAAGGAAAAGGTGAGGCCTTTGGTGTGAGTATGACAGCTTATAAAAGACAAGAATTCCAGAATTGGCAATATTGTCAGGTGAGAGAAGGGCATTTGATCAGATGTGTTTTTAAAGATGTCCGCTCTGTCTGATGGCACTCTGTTGGCTACAAAGGACTTGCCTTGTAAAGCTATTCCTGAAAAAGATCAATGCCTATGGGTTTTCATCCCACTTCCCAAGTTTGCTCTTTTGAAGATATTTTTGTGGATTTAAAGATGGAATAATAATCCATACGTAATTTCTTAAGTATAAAAACTTCCTGTACTCAGAATGTGACATGTCTATAAATCTCAGCATTTTGGTTATGGCTGCTTATTTGTTTAATTTTTGGGTTGTTTCCCAGTATCACTTATGAGCCAATAACTATTTGTCAGCTATTTTTTTTTTTTTTAATTGAAGCCACGGGCCATATCATACCATTGATTTCTGAACAGAACTCCCTGCTGGAATCAGCAAGGCTTTCCAGCTCAAAAATGAATAGAAATGATCCAATACTTGGATTATGACTTTTGTAAGGCAGGAGGAAAAAGGAGATAAAAATCTAGTATTAAGTATCTCAAAGTAGTTCTTTTGGTTTCCCGGCCCCCACCACCAACCTCCCATCCCCAACTTATAGCAACCAAAGTGTATTGATTTTTAAACAATGTTTAAAACAGCAAATTCAACAACAACAAAACTCAGTGTTCTCCTCCCTGGGCATCTTGCCTTGTAACCTGCAGCCCAGGGCAAATTTTTACAACAACATGATAATCTATTGCAAACAAAGGCTTACAGCAGATGCCTGAAACCCCCCAACTGCAGCCTGAGGAGTGCAATATCAAATCTAAATTACTTCCATGCCACTACTGCATGTTTTTGATGCTGCTGTAGATGGGTGAGAAGGGAAGATGACAGCCCACAGAGGTACATTCTGAGTGTTTAACATGGTGCCAAACTCAGAGAATAAGCACAGAGCAGCATGTTTCAGAGGATGAGTGTTGGAAAGCACTACTCCCGTGGTTGCAGTTGTCTCCCTGTGTGGCTCCTGAGCAGCCTTACAGCCCCTCTGGGGCAGCCCAAGGGGCTGATCCTGCTGGCAACAGAGCTGAGTGAAGCATGCACACTGGGGTTTGTCAGAGGCAGCTGGCTCAGATTTGGGGCCAGGGCTGTTGACCAGGGCTCCAGCCTCTTCCTTCCTTCACCCTTCATTGTGTGCGACACCAAGGCCAAATCCAGTGTTGCGTTTGCCAGTAGTTTTGCCAAAGCTGCTGAGCATCCCACCACCCTGTGGGTGACACCGCAGGGATGGGCCACTTGCAGGCATCCACCTTCTGTGCCATCCATCTGCAAGGCCCAGCAATTTGGGACATGGGGTGGGGAGGATGGAGGGAGTCACCAGGGCAGAGTCCATCACGGTGCTGTACTGTCACAAGGGAATAGGCAGGGCCTAGGCAGGACCAGCACCGATCTCTTTCTGCCTTGTGTTTCTCAAGTCAGGAGCAGAGATGATGCCAGGTCAGGGGTGTTTAGGGCAGCTTTCAAGACATGGTCCTGGGCTGCTGGATTTTGCAGTAGTGGTGGAATGGGCACAAGAAGGCAGTGGTGGCCAGGTGTGATCCCAGGAGGACAGCATGCATCCTCTCCAGCCAGCCTTGGGGCTGAGGGTCTCAGCAGCTTACTCCCCAAGCCCTCAGCTTAGGGCTCACCTAGCAGCACTGGTTAGAACAAGGCACAGGGGAGCAAGCTCTGACACTCTGTCTCCTGGAAGGTCTTCACCAGTCCTGGGCTGAAATAGTTCTGTTTCTCATGCTTTTTGTCTGCCAGGACTGCACAGAATGCAGGAAGCTCAAGTCCCAACCTGTTCAGGGCTATACAGGCATGAAGGAAAGGGCAGAGGAAACAGATAGCAGCATGGTCTGGTCTTGAGATGAATTCTTGCTCTTTAGATCATTGTGATCCTCAGCATTAATGCTCGTCACCGCCATCTCCTTCGCTTTCTCTCCTTCACCCATTTGGCCATTTAGGCTACAACTCTGTTTAGAAAGGGATCCAGTTCTTACTGTGTGTTTGGACAGAGCCAAACGCAGCGAGGCTTGGTCTCAGCTGGTCACTATGGTTATATGAATGCTAACTCAGAAAACACTCTGCAGGAAGCACTGCAGACGCTGGAGCATAATGAGTGGGGATGATCACTGGCTGTGTGTTTGAAGGCTGAAGCTGTGCAGTGTGGGACAGGAGCATGGTGGTTTTATGGTGTGGCAGATGGATGCTTGCTCCTGGTGTGGTGCTGGCTGGGTCGGCTCGGTGCCTGTGCACACATGTTAGGTATGTGGCGTGGAATTTGGAGGGTAAATATTGATGTGGCATTGTCTGAAAACAACCCTCTGTTTTCAATCCTGCTCGCAAGCACAGACAGCTCCCATCTAAGCTGCATCCCCGGCAGCTTTGTTTGGCGTTTCTATTGTGGGCCTGTCTCCAGAAATGTAAACTTGCTATTAATGACTTTTTTTTCTCTTAAAATTAGGTGAAAAACCTGACAACAAATGGAAGATTGGGGCCTTGGTCCCCATGGCAACTGTGTGAGCATTCGGATGGGGACAGCACAGGCTCCTGTATGTGTAGGTCACGTTCATGTGACAGCCCTCGTCCTCGCTGTGGAGGTCGTGCTTGTGAAGGGGCCAGGATTGAGGTTGCAAATTGTTCAAGGTACCTTAGTGTTCTTTATGCTTTTTAGGAAGGGAACAAGAGTTGTGCCTGTCCACAGCTTAGCTCTTTCCCTGTGTTTTTGTGACCATGTTGTTGTATCCCAGCCAAAGTAAGGTGTGTGAGATCCAACTTGAAGTCAGCGTAAAATGAAGGAGCCCAAGGGCTCTGGGAGAAGGGCCTTCAGCCAAGGCTCTTGGAAGATGAGCACCCAAAATTACCATACACATTAACCTTCCCTACACTGTACCTTGGTTTCCCTCCCTGTGCAGTGAGTAGTGACCCCTCAGGAGGAGGTGAATAAGGCAGTGGTAGTTGTTAGCCGACTGAACAGCAATAGGCTAAAAACATCAATAAACTCATAATTTTTCAGAGTTTTGGTTTCACGACTGCATTTCCAAAAGCAAGCAGAGCTCCTTCAGAGTAATGCTTGTAAAGACAGGGCCTAGCTTAGCTCTGAGCAAGGCTTGTTTGCCCTGTTCTGCAAGTCTGTGAACTGTCTGCAGCACGCTAGCCAGGTGAAAGCAACACATCATCACCTGGCAGTGAGCAGCGCTCGGGAGGCGTGTCTGCCGGGGACGGCACTGCACCAGCACATGCAGCTCAGCTCCTACCTGTCCACAGAAGTCTGAAACAAATGCTTGAACAGTATGGAAGCTAAATGTCCTCCTCTTGGGTGCCCAAACATAGCCATGGTGTTTGTGTCTGTGTTACTTCACCACCCTCAGACTACATCATGTCATGACTCAAGGAAAGACGATGCAATAGTGTAAGCACTATTTAACCAGGGTGGGGACAGCTAGTATTTTGGTAAATATTGGGTCAATACAGTTTTTATCTACTTTATCTTCTCCATAAACATTCATTCCATTAAGGACAGCTGTCTCTTGATTCATCCCTGGAGATCAGTGCTGGTCTTGGCACCAAAAATTCAGCAATACTCATGTTTTAATTGGCATATCTCCTTCCAGTTGTGGGCTGTGCTGCCCAAAAGGTGTGCAGTCATTCCTGTCCCTGTGCTGCCAATGTGGGCTGAGCGGAGCTTTCCCCAGGCAGGCTTTTTATGTCAGTGGCAAATGGAAAACATGCCAGTGGGATGGGTTTCTCAGCACTGCTCTGGTGGCAAAAAAGGCAGGAACAGCTTCTAAGAAGGGGATGAAAAACAGATTATTCAATCTTAAGACATAGGAAAACAGCATGGTTTGAAAAATAGGGACATCTGGTCATCCTACATCCGCCTCAGCCCTCAAATTTCCTTTAATTGACTTCATATGGCATTGAGATTTCTTTCTGCAAAGAGGGAGCAGGATGTTTTAAAGATGAGTTCTATTAGAAAGCTGGAGATCTCAAAGTGGAAGGTGTCTTATTTCTGTTAAAAATCATGAAACACAAATATGCTGAGAACTGTTGGGTTTTTGAGGATTTTTTAGTAGAAATTACTTGCCCTTTTTGCAGCAATAACAGCAACCTTCCATTTCATGTTTTTCTTTTCATAATTTTACACATAATCTTTCTTTTGGGTTAAGAAGTGGGGAGGTAGTAGGTGGGTTAAAACTTGGCAGAATAATATGGAATAGTAGGATTTTTATATAAGTGAGTTTCTTGTTCTTTGACCTTGTTTGGGGTGGGAAGGGGAGGGGAAGGGAAGCAGGGAGAGGGATAAGAGAACAAGAGGAGGGGAGAAAGATCTATCAGGGTTCTGAAATAAAGCTGCCAAGAACAGGCAAGAGTTGATAACAAATACAAAAAGTGTGAAGGGCAATGTCGGTTTTAACTTTCATCCTCTACCCTGATTGGTGCTATGCCAGAAAATATTTCTTGCCAGCAGTGTTATTAGTTCAGTAAATGCTTTGAAAATTAACATCTGTTTTCAAGCTTAACTTTCAAGATTCGGAGAGCACCTGAGTTGTTTTCTGACTAGACTTTTTAGAAAGTTTTTTTTTATGAAAGAACACACCCCAAAAAAGATATTTTTTGGCTTAAGGCAGTGAAGTGTCAAGATTAGGCAGTTTTATAAGACAGAGCATTACCACTGTCTCCATATGAAATGAAACCTGCAGCACAGAAGAGATGAGATACAGTTCTTCCTCTCCTGCTTCAAGGTTCCTCTGCCAAATCAGAGGAAGGTGAGCTTTAATAGATGCAAGATTTAAAAGATGAAAATGTTGGCTTCTGTGTCAGCACGTTTGAGTCACCACACGGCAGCAGCGTCGCCGGCACGTGCTCAGCCCGTTGCAGGCACGAGGCACGAGGCACGGAGTGTTTGCCAACATCTCTGTCGCTGAGGTGTGAACTAAGGGGTTTTACATCACATTTGCTTCAGGCTGTGTTACCACTCTTCAGCAGAGATGTGATCACTCATTAAACCATGAAACTCGATCCTGCCTCTGAGCTCTTAATTGCCTCTGGTTTCTACAGATTTAAGGTCACACTACAGTGATGTCTGCAGGCGGCCATGAAAGCTAGAAGCAATTATTGTTATTTTTAATGAAATTTGAGATTTCCACTTAATAGGATTCAATGCTGAAGGCTCTAGGAAAACACAAAATATTATGAGGTTTGTGATAAAACCATGAAAGCTGGCAGTGGTATTGCTGTAAGAGATTTAAAGCATCCGTACTTACTGAATTAGCAGAGGCTAGGTTTTTTACATCCTCTGGCACAACTGGCATTCCTGATTCTCAAAACCTGCTCTTTTTGTGCAGAAGAGTTCAGGAGACACAACTTTGGGATCAGCCATTGGCTTGGAAGAGCTGGATTATGAGACACTGGGGAGGTGATGAGGGAATAGTCAGTGAAAGTTATGCTAGCCACACTGTTACCTGACAAATCATAGGAGGCATTTGCAGAATCATTCAGCATTGTCTTCATTCTCTTTCTTTCCAGTTCTTAGAGACTTCAAAGGGGAGAAAAGTTAGGCCAGTGCTAAGCGCTTTTGAAACTCCCTTTTCTAAATCTCCTCTGATATAAAGTCTGGTTGAAATGAATAGTCTTGTGTGTTTTGCTGTATAAAGCATGGCATGATAAGGGAGACTGTTGGATGACCCCATACTCTGTTTTCTCTCACCCTTTTTTGTTAGAAATGGTGCTTGGACACCCTGGTCTTCCTGGGCCCCATGCAGCACCTCTTGCGGGATTGGCTTCCAGGTCCGCCAGCGATCCTGCAGCAATCCTGCTCCACGGTATGGGGGCAGGGTCTGCGTTGGACAGAGCAGGGAAGAAAGGTAGGAGTTGTCCACAACACTGTGTGTTCATTTCTGTGGTTGTAATGGTGGCAGCTGGGAGTGGTGACTCTTACGTGACTGCAGATTAAGGTGCTTAGCTGAATGTGCCGAGCGGAAGGAGTTCCAGAGCCTGGGAGGGATAAGGTTGCTTACATGCATGGCCACTCTTTTTCAATGAGCCTGTGAACATCAGAGACTTCAGAACTGGCTTCACTATCAAGCAGGACCTCCATAAGTATTCCTGTGCCCCCAGCAGGGGGCTGCCCTCCTCACCTGAAGGAGAAGCTGTGCCTGCTGTTGGCAGAGTTTACAGATCAGTTGCACTCTTCTGATCTGTCCTGGAAGTGGCAGCTGAGTATGTGCAGCTTTTAATTGCCAGTTGCACCACTCCCAAGTCTCTATTACTTGATGATGCTGGTGCACCAAAAGAAGTTCAAGGCAAAATATAGCTTAACTCACAGATTCAGTCTTGAGTTTTGCAGGGCATGGCATCAGAAAAACCTTTTTTCCCCTCTAAACTAAGACAATTTCATGAAAAATTACAAAAAACCAATACTTTTTGAACCTACAGAGCCATTTGCACTATAACACTTCTTCAAGCTTGACCCCTCATGAAACACATGCTTCAAGGCACTCCAACTTGTTTCCAGGTTTGACATTTCATTAAAGGCCACCTCTGCTTGGCAATAGGCTGTTGCTTGTCCCTTGAGTGGTCACTAAGACATGTCTCTGCATTTCTCAGAATACAAAGAGCAATTCATTTAACTTTCTTGTTTCAAGACATTTTAATGTTCGATTTGATTTGTGTCCATTCACAATGGTCCTTTTTGGGTTTAAAGATTACATCAGAGTCAATTGCAGTCCTGTGTGATTCAATTTGAGAACAATATTGATTAAAACTGTGAACAAAATTAAAGTTACTTTTGACACGGGAACATGAAATAGCATTCAATTAGGACCTGCTTTTAGATGCATACAGCATCTAGTTCAACTCTATTTGCAAACTCTAGTTTCCTAGGGTCTGAGGAGCAGCAAAAGCTAGACTGTGTGAAGAGAAGATTGTCAACTGTTTAGCACTTGCCATCAGTGACAGATCACTGTTGAGTTGTTCTCCCACTAGTCATTCCATTTACCACCCATTCTCTCTGTGACACTTGGGCTTCAGTTTATGAGCTCTATTATGGATTCAGTGTTTGTGGAAAAGTTTTGAGACTAGAGCACTTTAAAACACCTGATCTCGACCATTTACTCCAACTATCTCCCTGAGCTCAGCCTGGTTATCCCCTCTCATTCTGTGCAAAGGCTACAGTTCTCTCCGTGAGCAGGAATATTGCTAATCTGGCGGTGTGTCAGCCTCTGCTGGCTCTCTGTGCATGCATCAGTTGTACCCAGATGCAATGTGCAATCTTGTGTCCTGCACCATTTTGTTCCTTGGATGTGCTGATGTGAATGTTTTTTGAGCAATGCACTTTCTTCTTTCAGATTCTGTAACGAGAACAGTCCATGTCCATTACCAATTTTTTGGTCTTCATGGGGACCTTGGAATAAATGTAGCGTGAACTGTGGTGGAGGGATTCACTCAAGGCAGAGGTCCTGTGAAAATGGAAATACATGTCCAGGCTGTGCTGTGGTATGTATTGTTTATTGATGTTGCATAAGTGTTACCTACTGACAGACAGCATCTAGGAACTTGGTATTAGCTCCTCTCTCCATCTTGGTTTTATTTCTTAAGCTAGAAGAAAATGCTGTCCTCAGCTTTTGCTGAAATGTACGTGGAAGCAGAGAGGTGGCAGATTTAGGGACAGACTGGAGTACAGAGGATTTCCTTAGGCCTCTGTGGGCTTAGATTTTATGGCCTTTACCTGAAAGCACTATACATGTTTTTTTTTTTCTGCCCCGCTCCCAAGAATGATCTGTTGAGTCAAGGAGGCCACACACACATCCAAATTGAGTCGCACTGTCATACTTGAATAAACAGGTCCAACACCTAGTTCAACCATCAGTGACACAATGGCTACCCATTTGCTCTCTTTACTTTCCCTTTCCTATTCTAGCAGCAGTTTCATGCAGCTCTTTTAATTAGTTTTGTGGAGTTTCCTTTCAGAGCAAGCAGACTTGATCTGACACTTCCCATCTCTTCACAAGCTGTGTGACATTTACTCTAGAATCACGAGGTCCGGAAGCATTATTTCTTCCCCTCTGCCAGAAGAGAGAGATTTATTCATTTATTTTAAATCAAGAACACAATGTTCGTCACTGGAATTCCTCCCACTAGTGGTGAGAATTGTAAAACCCCCAAGTCACCCCATCCCTATACACCAAGGATGGTAAATGGTTCATAACCCTCAGTAGAGAGTTCAAAAAGCCAATCAAACAAAAATAGCTGTAGAAAGAAATAATCTAAACCCATATTAAAAATCAAAAATAAACTTTTCAAGGAATAAACCTTACTGACATTTTGTCCTCATGGGACTCCTTTAGGCTGACCTGAGAGCAGCATCTCTGGGTCACAGCAGAAAACTTGTTGGCTGTTACTGTTATCTACTGCCTGAATTATTCTCCTGCCCATAATGTACCAAGCTGTCAAAGCCCCACAGGACTTAGAGTCAGCAAATAAACACAAACCTGAGGGAGACATAAAAATAGCAAGCATAGTTTACCCTTGAGGTCCACCTGAAGCTATGCACCGCCACTACTTCCATAGTCACCACATTTTGTGGTGTGCCCAACACTGGCTTGTGCCTGTGAGGTCAGATAAGGTGGATGGGGATTGTTTTAGATCCAGAAGGTACCTCCTTATTTTCCGAAGTGTAAACAAATCTCTGCCAGTTAGGCTCATGCTGTTTAATAAGTAAGGAGAAAGTGCTTTTCCTTCTTGACAGGAATATAAGACCTGCAACCCAGAGAGCTGCCCGGAGGTGCGCAGGAACACACCCTGGACCCCCTGGATGCCTGTGAACATCACCCAGAATGGTGCCCGCCAGGAGCAGCGCTTCCGCTACACGTGTCGTGCCCAGCTGTCAGACCCCCACGAGCTGCAGTTTGGGAGGAAGAAAACCGAGAGTCGTTTCTGCCCCAACGATGGCTCAGCAGTGTGTGATACTGACTGTACGTCCTGCCAGCTCTAGGGACCACAGGGCAAGCCTAGATTTGGTGGTGGGAGGGGGGTCCTCTCAGGACAACACAAACCTGACTGTGTCTGCAGTAGTACAACTAGTGTCACCTGTACGACCAGAGTCACTGCAGAATGCCAGGGATGGAGAGAGCCCTGTGACATAGAGATACACAGTCATGAGCTCTGTGCTTATGGCAGTGCAGAGATTTGTTCTTGCCGCCCCAAAGAGAAAAGGCAAGTAATGCAATTGTAAAGAAGAGAAGCTGTTCTACAGGACAGTGTGCCTTTTCTTTCTCTCTTGGGCTTCCCTTGTGCCCAGCCTCTCAGGTTGGTCCCTGCAGTACTGCTGTGATGCAAGTCAGTGTCTTGAGGGCACAGCCTGGACTCCCAGTTTTCTGCCCAGAAAGGTCATTTATCAAGGTGATCAGTAGACTCAGTTTGTGTGTATGCAAATTTTTTTTTGTGTTCTCCATGGAACAAAACTCTTGCTAAGGGCTTTCAACAGAAACTATTTCACAGGGCACATAAATCCTGATTTTATTCATGAGCTGAACTGCTTTTCAAAAGCCCAGCTTTTGATTAATTTGTGATCTCACAGTGTCTTGTTTGTTTTCCTTGAAGCTCTTGTTGATGACCTCCTCAAGACTGGTAAGACCACTGCACGGATTATCAATGGGGGCTGGTCCTTTTGGGGGGCCTGGTCTTCCTGTTCCAGGGACTGTGAGCTGGGCTTTAGGATCAGGAAGAGAACATGCACAAACCCTGAACCTAAAAATGGTGGCTTGCCCTGTGTGGGGTCAGCGATGGAGTACCAAGACTGCAATCCTCATCCCTGCCCAGGTAACCATGAACATCTTCCTGCATGAAATTCAGAGGAGTTTTTCCCAAATCTTAATGGTAGAGCAACAACAACAACAAAATCAGTATTTCTAAGCTGCTTTTTTTAAAAAAAAATTTGGGGGATTTTCCTTAGTATTTTTAAAACTTTTGTAACGACCCAGATATGTGATCTTTAGCGCTGGCTTAGGTTTCACCTCGGCTCAGAGGGTAACACAGCCACATCCTCTAGAGGAAGTAGTAGGGTGGCTTGTAGCAATTTTTTGCTTCAGGAAGGTTTGATGCTCCATCCTGTGGAGGGCATCATGGTGTATCTGCTCCTTGAGGAGGAGGCAGGCTTAATAAATGTGGCTTAATACTGTATAGAGATGCTTGATGTGGCGGCTCTTCTTGTGAACACTTGTTTCTTCCCCCTCTCCTGCTTACGTATTGTTCTTGCGATGGGCATCTCCTCTTGACATCAGTTACCATTTCCTGCACAGCCAGCAGGGAGTATTCTTGCCTGGTTTCCTGGTTTTCAAGTTTGTCCTCATGTTTATGTTGCACTCCTTGTCCAGAATAGTAGTAATAGACCATTGACTACTGTATTCTCTCTCACTTATCCTTCTCCTTGCTCTGTAATAACTATCTATACTAAATTTAAGTGATCTTACACAAATTACCTTGCCTCTTTGCAGTTCTAGCAATTATCTACCTCTGGCAATATAGTTTGTGGCCTATACTTGAAAATGCTCTATTATAGTAGTACTATTATGATTCTAAAATTCAATACAAAGATAAAATTCCAATGCAGAGATGATCAGAATGTGCAGCAAGAGCGTAGCAGGAGTGTCAAATATTGCACTCTATGCCCTATAAAAAGGAAATAACCCTAGTACTATAAAGGCAGCTATTAGTACTATTTTGGAAGCTCTCAGTGGCTTTTCACTAATGTCTGTGCCCTTCTTCTGTGCTGTTTTCTCTCCTTGGACAGTATGATGTTTTACAATCTGTTCTGAGTGCATGATTACTATTTCTCTGTGTCTCCCTCTTTCCCTGCCTCACTCAATGTGTATACAAAAATCCTGGGTTTATCTTGCACTAAGTCATCAGGTTATTATCTTCTAAATTAATGGCATGTCGACCTGTGAACCAGGCAGTATAATGGGTGGGGGGTGGGGGAATCAGGGTTCTTAAGTCCCTCCCTAGTTTTACTATTAACCTCCTATGGAGTTATGCTCAGATCATAAAATGGTTTGGGTTGGAAGGGACCTTTAGAGGTCTTCTAGTCCAATGCCCCTGCAATGAGCAGAGACAATAAGTAAAGCCTCTGAGTTTCTGTTTCCTGAAGGCTGAAACTAGAGGACTTTGGGGCCCCACAGAAAGGTGCCATATCAGCTCCACTTAGGTTCTACAGCACTTTTTTCCCAAGTAAATCTGCTGTTGCTGTAAGTGAAGTGTCAGGAGATAGTAGTAGTAATAATAATAATAATAATAATAATAATAATAATAATAATAATAATAATAGCAATGCTGTTCTATAAAAAGGGAAGGAATAGAATGGAATAGACTATTTCAGTGAATATTAGTGACTACCATAAAGAACAGTTACTGTGTTGGCACTTTATTATGCAGAGCCTTTTTCTGCTTAGATTTCATTCTGCATCTGCAGAGTGCAGTACGTTTGTACTCTCTCTTGATGTAAAGTTCGTCTTGTCAGGCCCTAATGTCCTGGGGAGCAGGAAACTGCTAGCTAGTCTGGGCAGGGCGGATCTGGAAGGTGTGATACCAGGGTTCTCCAGCTTTGTCACAGTGAGAGGAGTAACCAATGTCATCTACCTCTCTCTCCTTGCTTTCCGATGTCCTCCAGTGAAAGGCTCCTGGTCTTGCTGGACTCCATGGTCTCACTGCTCAGCAACCTGTGGAGGTGGGCACTACCAGCGCACGCGGACGTGCACCAATCCAGCCCCGTCCAGCGGGGAGGATATCTGCATTGGCCTGCACACCGAGGAGGCCCTCTGCAACACGCACCCCTGCGAAGGTAGCCACTTCTCATCCCTGCTCCAGTTGGCTTGGAGGATGGTGGGAGCAAGGCACATCTGCAAAATGTTTAAAAAGTATATCAGAAACACCACCAGTTACAAGTTTTTCTGTAGGTGTCTGCTGAGCCAGGGAAAAAGGAGACATCCCAGTGTTCAACTGCAACGCGTCGCCTTTCTCTGTGCCTTCTCACTCCTAGCCCATGCTCTGGCATTCTGGTGCCAGTCAGGCAAAATTTTGCCAATGGTTGATCCATTTCAAGTAATTGAAAAAACTGGAGCTTGGTTCTTCAGCATGGAAGCTTGCAAGACAAACAAAGGGATCATGATGCAGCAATCTGTAAGGTTGCTGCAGGGACAGTCCTTCCTTTTTCTTTTGCAGACAGCAGATGAGCATGTGCTACAACTCAGAGGACAGGGTTTAGTTCTGTGCTGGCTTTCCATTACCTTTGTGTCTTTCTGACTCCTGCCCTTGGGGACCTCAGCAGAACTCTGTAATTGCTCTAACTGGTGCTGGCTGCTTTATGGGAAGCCATATCAAAACTTGGAGGTCCTGGTGCAACATTGCCCCATCCAACTCCTTGTATGACTTTAACCAGAGAGCTGATATAGGAGCTTTTAAGACAACTCCTGTGCAGTGCTCCACCAAAGGTTAGTTTAGTCCATATTAAGAAAACTACAGCCTGACAAGTAGGGTATGATGCTTGCACTGGTATTTGTATTGAGAAAATTAAATCCATTAAAGACCCCTGGATTAGGTGTGTGAGAGAGTCCCAGGCCAGGATCTAGACATCCTTCAGCATCGGAGAAGTTTGATATCTACAAAACATCTTTTTCCTTCTTGGTGACGTCGTCCGTGTGTTTTTCTGGTCTGGATTTCAGGTGGCTGGTCAGAGTGGTCGGAGTGGAGCCTGTGTAACGAAGAGGGCATCCAGTACCGCAGCCGCTACTGCGAGGTGCAAAGCCCAGACTCTTCTCAGTGCGTCGGGAACAGCACCCAGTACCAAGATTGCCTGTATAATGAAATCCCCGGTATGTACAGTGTCACCAAGGAGGGAGAGGGTGGGCCAGTTCAGGAGAGCAGTTCGTGCCCAAACTGTCAAACTAGGCTGAGATTTTCTTTATTATAAATTAGGCTTGGATGCTTCTAGAAAAACAAGCAAACAACCAAACATGTTATACATTCCCTTGTGGCAGGCACAGGGTAACTGGCATTCCCTTAGGCAGCTTAATATTTCTTTTAAACGGAATTACCTAGATCTATAACAAATAACTAGTATGGCTTCACCTGAACTGAAGCTTTTAACTTTGCATAGTTCATCTCAGGCTGGGATTTAAAAATTATCTCTGTTCTCCATATGGGTATGGGCAACAGAAGGTCCTTGATTTCAGGTATCAAAAGAAGCATCCCAAAAGAGTGAAGAATTAAGGTGAGGCAGATGGAGAAAATTTGGGTGTGAAGTAGGGAGATTAATCCAGGGTCTAACAGAGAGACACTGTTGATGTACAGATGGTCATCAGCATATTCCACCCTGTGTTTTCTGGAAATTGAATCTCTCAGGCAAATACTTGATATGGGTCTAGACTGAATAATGCCTTTCCAACATGTTATTTTTTGGATTACAGTGCCCTGACTTAAAAATCTGAGATCTCTAGGCAATGGTAGTCTTTTTCATGGTTTTCTCAGCTTTCATCTTTCCCCTTAATTGAAGAAGCTAAAGAGTGATCAGGTAACAATACTGGAATTGTCAGGTCTTTGGAGAGGTTTTGTTGCATGTGTTTCAAACTATGAGCTTATAATTCAATTTAGAGAGGCTCTCAGCTTGCCGCAGAACATGTGAGCACCTTCTCGTGTCTGGAGCACAGAGGGTTTAATTACTTGAAGAAGTAAAGTGATGGCAAAATGACAACTTCCTCCAATCTTCTTTTCTTTGTTTAGTGATCCTGCCAGCCTCCAGCATTGATGAGAGCACGAACTGTGGAGGTAGGGTACCATTACCTATGTATCTTATTTTTATCTTAACATGGCTTCTTTTCTCCCTGTGCAGTATCAACCAAACCATTAATCTATACAGCTCATATCCCACTGATAGCCTTAATTCCACTGGAGTCTTGCTGTCTGAGTCAGACTGGAGGAATGTATCGCATGTCCACTTGTCAGTTCCAAGATTTTCATTTATTTGAGAGTTTGGGTTGGCCACTGAGAGTCATTAATTACCAGGGAGCAATTGCTTGTCTCTCTCTACCCATAGGGTAAATGGTTCAGGAGGAAGGAAGGGATATTCCCCATTCCACCACTGTAAGCCTCCAGCTGTTTGAAGGCAGGTGTTTTTAAATAACCTATGAAGATTTCAGTGCACAGGGTCTCAGACAGATCCTTTGCTGATATAGATTGAGATTAGAGGTTTATACTTGTCCTCCAAGCATTTCCTTTCATTCAAGTTCTCACCTCTCACAGGAACCATGTCTCCTTTCTGCATGTAACTTGGAAGGATCCAGTCATTAGTGTCACTTTTCTGCTGCCCTAGGAGCCCCGAGATAAAAATGCAGACTGAAGAAAATGGCAGGTTTCTTTAACGTTTTGAAATGCTAGTTTCACACTAATGGCCATGCCAATTCCTGCTAGCATCACATCCCTGCTTTCCTGAAATCTAGATGATCTGCAGTCTGCCAAAATCTCCTCTCCCTGTAGAGATCATGGCAGAAACAGGCGTGCCACCTGTGGCATGGAAATGTGGCCTCTCGGTTTGCGACTCTGGGGAAATCAATGGGATTAATATTTCATCCCCTGCAATGTAACATTTGGCTTCCTGCACCACTCCTTCTCCCTCAGAGGGTGCAGTGGTTCTACTTCAGTTCCACGACCCCTTGCTACAGCTTGCACTCCACTGTTGTGCACTGTACCCACATTTCCTTCTTTTACCACCACCATTGTATTTGCTGTTGCAATCTACATTTTACCATAGCTAATATTATTTATTACTTAGTGTTCTACAATATTTGGCAAAGAAGCCAATCAATAGAAATTCTGTTGATGCATCTCAGAAAATCTATATTTTCTAAGTGATGAACCAGAAATCTTCCCCCCTGGGGATTCACAAGCTGAAAACAAAATAATTTGTTTGGTGTTTCCCCCTCCCCCCTTAAGATACAGCTAAAACTCATCTGAAAAATCAGATGGGTGTTTCAAAGGTGAGAGTGAAATGTAAGAGAGCTTTATGTAGTGACTTGCAAATGTGGCAGTGAAATGAAACATTCAGTGCAATATAAGCAAACCTGGGCCAGAGGAGAATGTGGCAGCATGTCATGTGCCTTTACTGAGCACAGTTGTGTATTTGGTGTTTTAGCTGTCGAAAGTGATGTAAAGCAGGCAGAGGTTTTTAGAAAGGAAATGTCTTTTTGAAGAAGTCTTGTAACATTTAGTAAGAAATTATAATCTTTCTGCTAGTTTTTTTTTTGGACCATCATCCAAAACACAATAGAAAGTGGTAATCTTGCAATAGAGTTTTATAGTGTGGTTTGAAAAATAAGTGTATTTCATCAGTCTAATAAATTCTGTATGTCCCTTACTGTAATTATGATTGAAGTGCATTACTTTGCTGTAGAATTCTGTTGGTTTTGTTCTTTTTAAACTCAGGAGGATATTTTTTAACTAAAGATTAGATGAGAGCCATTGACTAATGGGCAGAATCTGCTGTTTGAAAAGCATATCAGTTAAAATGTAAGATGGCACCCAAAAAATGCACGCCGTGATCAGACTAAGAATGAGCCTCATTTAAAGTCACACTCTGACTGGGCCCATTTCTCTGCACACAGTCAAGTCAACACAGCAGTCTGTCCAGATGAATTGGCTTTTTAAGTATTACAGGAAATTTACCGCTGCAGTCGCCACCGAGCCGGTGTGGGTGACCCCTGGGACAGCTGCCCCAGGGGGCCAGCAGTCAGGGGGTGCCCCTCAGGCACTAGGACCCCTGTCAGGTCTGTTTGAAAGATGAAAGAGCAAAGGCAGAGGAAAGGCAGTAGCATTTGGAGTCAAATAACTGATTCTTTTTCTGTAGAGTACCCCTTGCACATAGCTAAATCCAGCAGGGTCATAAAGTTTTGCCACCCAAGATTGCCTCTGGTTGCTTCATTAACTTGGTGGCTGTAAAGGGTGCTACTGTTTGTTCTGTTGTCAATGGAGATCTGTTGGTGGTTGGTTTTACTGTGGGGTGTGAGACTCTGTGAGGTGAGGGAAGAATGAGGAGTACTGTTTGACTTTGTCTTCCCCCCACCAGTCAGAGCTGTGAGTGTGTTAGGTACTTCTCAGCACGTGGGATGCACAACTACAGCACCTTCCAGAGCTCAGTGCTGGGCTTGGAGGGTGCTGCTGCAATCCCACGTGGAGAGATTTCTGGAGGAGGCTTTTACAGTCCAAGAGCTTTTCTGTTTGAAATATTTGCACTGTAGCTACCCTGCTGGCACCTGCCTGCAACTGGCTTCCTATCTCTGCAATTTGTGGAGAAAGCCAACAAAGAAGTGTTTTTCAAGCAGTTCCCCCCTTTCCTTTGGCCACCTTATCGTTCTCATTCTCCTGAGGACCCCTATTTCACTGTTAGCAGTACAAATACAGCTCAGAGGTAGTGCAGACATGGTCAAGGCAATGCTGCCCCATGAATAAGCAAGAATGCTGAGCACACTTGGATTACAAGGGGGAGGAATGTGTATCTCCCCCACCCCACACACAGTCTCATAGGCATTTTGGGCAGCCAGCTAAAAGGGCTTTCCCCTCCCTTCCTTCCCCTTCAGAGAAACACTGAGCATTTTTATCCCCTTATTTCCATGACATGCACATGCTTTGGAATCCATTAATGTGCATTGTTTGTATGGCTCATTTCTTTAGCTGTCAGCTTAACATAATGTTTAGTTTCAATATCAATAGAGGGGAGAGAGGAGAGACAGGGAGGGAGCTTTGAGAAAACAATGCATGAACCTGTTAAACTGCTCAAGGCAGGGCTGCAGTGGGGGGACTGATCTGCAGGAAGATTATGTCAGTTTATGTTATAACATAAGACTCCAGCTTCAACAGCTTATTAATGTTGATCCCAAGATGTCACTGCTCTGATATGCACCTGTGGTCTTGTCGGGGGAGGAAAAGGGGCTGTTCTTTAAAAATAGCATCTCTTGTCATTTCCCTTTCAGGTTTTAGTCTCATCCATCTGATTGCCACTGGGGTCTCCTGTTTCTTTGGCTCTAGCCTCTTAACGTTTGTGATTTACGTGTACTGCCAGCGCTGTCAGAGGCAGTCCCAGGAGTCCACTGTTATCCACCCAACCACTCCCAACCATCTCCATTACAAGGGCAACACAACCCCCAAGAACGAGAAGTACACCCCTATGGAGTTCAAGGTAGGGTAAATACCACAAACAGCTTGATACTACCTAAATAATTTCTGTATTTATGTCATGTTTGGAACTGGGTAGGTTTGTGTTTCTGTGCCCAGCTGATGGCATTGTACAGAGGGTTGAAAGGGCATTTAGTTGTACTGTCACAAAGGGGTTAGAAAGCCTCATTACTGCAGTGGGATTTTGTTCTTTTTCACAGTCCTGATGAATGCCAGTCTGGCAAGTACATACCAAGATACTCCAGCCCATTCTGACTATTGAATGTATACAAATTGTCCTCTAAAAAATCAGTAAGAGCTCAGTTCAGTGCATTGTTAGTGCATGGTAAGAGGAAACGGAGGGGAGGAAGAATAAAAATGGAAACTTCATTAGACAAATAGCTGGGAAAATGTGCATTGGTAGGACGAGATTTTGGAAATTCTTTGGGAACTGCCAAATTGGAGTGAATGAGAAAGCAGAGAGGGTTTTGCTCCCTCTATCAGTACTGGACAGAACTTACCCCAGGCAGCCGTGCAGAATTTAATGACAGTAGCAGAGTAGGGAGCTGAAGCCTTTAGGAGGTGAGTGCTGAAGTGGCATATGCTGTTACCGTGTCTGCTTGCTAAAGAGAACACCACCCATTATCTGAGCAGATAGGACATGGTGCTGGAGACAATACGCTGAGACAGAGGCACGTCGTCGTGTTTGAGCATCAGCCTCCTGGTGAAGCGTGGGATCAGAGGATTGAGCAGTGGGATGGGTGGAGAGGCTTCATGTCACCACAGGAGGAACAGCCTGCCTAGGGTCACTTGAACAGTGTGGAGCATTATTTGGGACATGAACACAAAGCAGAAGGAAGCCCTGCAGCTGCTTATTCCTTCAAACAACTATGTGCTGTTGACATTTTGATTGTCTGTTTCTGCTGATCTGGCCTGGCTTCTAACTGAGACCCAACAATAAGATCAGTGGTGGGACCATTGCCATAAACTCCCTGGGTGTGGAGGACTGTTTCTATGTAGGAGCTGTATAATGCTGGGCACAGGATGACTCTTGATACATGGCCACGATTTGCAGTGTGAGTGCGCATCAGAAATAAGAACTTGCATCAAATAATTTGAAAAGTGTCAAAGTTGTTTCGCTGTTTTGAAGGAAAACAGTTTGAACTGGAAAATAACTGACCAGTTTGGCAATAAGAATGTCGTGAATTCCTTGTGTCAGGCACTGCAGCCTCTCAGAGAATCCTGCTGCCTACAAATGGAGTCTCAAAAACACATATGCTAGCAGAATAAGGCTACAGTTGCATACAGTTTAATAAGAGTGCAGCATCATAATGCAAGTCAGCATGGATTTGTGGGAAGTAAATCATGTCAAGCAAATTGGATTCCTTTTTTAAATTAAATAAATATTGATCTAGATAGGAGGAAAGCAGCAGATGTATTGGGATTTTCAGAGACTTTTAACAAAGTTTCACAGGATGTATTATTCTATACACTCTGCATATACAGGTTCGGTAATAAATTATTAAGACAGCTAAAGAACAGGGATCTGATCCTGGAAGCATCAAACTATGAGAGCAATCCTTTCAGTTATGTGAGTAGCTATGGCAAGGTCAATAGGAAGACCCAGATTAGAAAGGCTTGCAGGAATAGAGATAAGCAAGAGTATTCTCTTGTTTCTTATATAGCAAACAATGAAGAAAAGGCACAAAATTATTTCTGTGGCCAAAAGCAGGTAGTTACAAGTTGGATTTGTAACTAATTTCATTATTTGTGCCACATTTTCTTTGTGATTTGTGTCATGAAGAAAATCATATGTTAATTATCAGATGATACTAAAATAGGCAGAATGGTTACAATTTAGAAGGATGAGGTTGTTCACAGAATGATCTTGATCAGTTGGGTAAATGGGTTATGAAATGCACTATGTCTGTGTCAAGTGGTGCAGTGAAGTAGAAGTAATAACAAAGCTAAGCAAAGTTTAAAATAGCAGCCGATTAGTTAATGTAGTGTCAGGAGGGAGTTGACCTCTTTGATAGATCCATCTCTGAATACTTGATCTAGTGTATAGTAACAGTGAGCAGCTGCTAGAGTCTTCTTTCAAGGGACATAAAGAGCTTAGGCATTAGATCAAGTTTTGAAAAGTCTGGTTTATTTAAAGGAAGGCATTAGCTAACTGACACTGTATGAGTTAGGCTGGGGGGAGAAGGGACTTGGACACAAGAAGAGATAGACCAGATGGGGCTTATTTATAGAATGTTAGGAAGTGAAAGAGTTCAAGTGCATAAATCTGCAGTCATTGGACAGACCAAAACTAAATGTTTAGGAGCAAGAGGCTACTTGCTGAGAAGGACTCGAAGTCATACACTTTCAGAGTGGTGAATGAGATTTACAGAAGGGGTAAAATCTATTTATCAAGTGAAGACCCCTTTTCCCCATTCCTGTTGAGTATTTCCTTCTGCTCACCTTCTCTACTGACCCTCCTTTCCTAAACTCTTGACTGAAAATTTCTCATTTCATACTACAAATTTGCCACTCCTCAGTGTTCCCTTGAAGTATATAGCATTAGTGAAGTAAGAGGAAGGCTCTGTGTGCTCTGTGCTGTGTAATTACTTACAGAACTTGTTATGAGCCAGCTTTATATTTAGGAATAACTGGCAGAATTTTCTAAGGGTCAGAAGGGAGTTTTTCATGCCTTCAAGGAGCATGTGCAGTTTTATTGGGATGCCACACAATTAACATTCAAATGATGAAGAAGCTAAAATTCCCCTTCCTGAAAATGAGGATTGGACTGAATTTGGATATGGGCCCATCTGAATTTAAAATGTGTATGTATGAAAGAAAGTGGAAACATGTGAAATTCCAGATTCTAACTCCAAGTAAGTTTCTATTCAGCAAATACCAAGAAAACCGCCCTCAATATTTTTTAGGTAATGAAAGTGAAAGAATAATTGTAGGTTTATGTGTGTATCTGTGTGAAAGAGTTAATAAGTCCATGATTAAGGAAAGACATGATACATAGACTACTTTTCAGTTACAGAAAATGATAATACATAGTGACATGATGGTAGCAGAAGGCTGGCCATATGCACAAGTCTATTATTTTCCATTCTTTGATAATGGAAACAAGCCTTCTGCAACCATCTTTAGTTTGTTTTCATCTTGAAATATCTCTGCTCTCCAACCAGCAGGTGAAGACTGTAGAAAGTTTGTCAGTGTTACATTCAAATGTACAGCACTGAATGCAAACTTCTAAATCAAGGTGAATTTTATATGAAGGCAGATTTTAATGAAGGAAGTGCTGGCTGCTATGAGTCTTGTTGGACATTTCAGCGCAGCAATGCAGTAATGCAGATCAGATGTAAATATCATACATAACGGTGACCTATCGATCATTTAGCTGATGCTAACTTGCATAGCCAGTGTTTTGCAGAAGCGTGTTTTATTTTTTTTGGCTTCTTTTCCCTTCCTGTTTTGCTTTCTCAAAAATACTGTGAGGTTTATTATTAGCTATTTTAGCCATGATGTCTTAAAAGATTTCATGCGTTTGCATTTACCAGCAACACGCTGATTTTGATTTGGTATTCACAGATCGTAAGGGAGAGACCTTTTGGGTCACCTAATAAGCAGTTCATGTTTCATTAATTGGTTGAAGTTCAAACAGCACTCTGACAATATTGAAGACTGTGCAGAACAAAAGCATAATGAAATAAAAATTATCTGCTCTTCACATTTTGGTATGATGGGTTACAGAACCACCTACAACCTTCCCGGTACCGCCATGCCGATTAGTTAATAACTGACTATCAAAGCAGTGAGGAGATCCTCTTTTTTAACATCTTGCTTTAGCAACTCAATGCCTTATGTGAGTTACTTATTAGACACATGCTAATGGAAAGCCAGATGATCCTGAAGTAGAAGCAGGAGGATGTAGGGTCAAGATTGAGCCCTTGTGAATTAGAGGAGCTCTTGGAACAGCCACACATGGAGAAAGGGTTTGGACTGAACTTCTTCCTATTGCTAAATCCTCTGCCAGTAAAGAGAGCCAACATTTTATTCTACACGGGATTTGGACAAAGGCATCTGCATATTGGTCCAAATCCAAAATCCAATGGCCTTTGGATCAGGCCAGATGGGATCAGTTTGTAGGATGGTTATGATGATGATTCTGCAGATTTTCTTTTCAATTGTGCTAGACAGACTTCCCTCTGTCCTTCCTTCCTTAAACACAGCTTTAGTCATGAGTCTCACAGTCAAACTCCCTGTGCTGATGCCTGAAATAAACTGAGGAAGCACCTGAGCATTACATCTGCTCTGGCATCAACACTGCTCTCGTAGAAGCCAAGGGCCAAACACTGAAGCAATGCAGTCATTTGTGTCAAGGATTAAATTTATTGGGGGAAAAGATGAGGTGAGAATTGAGTGAGATTGCAGGATATGGCAATAAAAAAGGGAAATGAAGTATTTGATGTATCACTTGATACCTGAATTTTCTAGGACAATAGAACAATACACATTAACTTCAATAGGAATGTGAGTCCTGCACTTGCCTAAAATCATAAAGCAAATACAGATGAAGCTACCAGAAAATGGGAGGGAATATTCAGTAGATCACTTGGGACTGTATAAATTAGAAGTTATAATGGATATTTTCTAATAAAGTGAGAACGGTGCTGTTGGGAATCAAATGACAGTGCACAGCAGACACCCTCTGCGAAGGTTGCTGGACCCTGTGATCCACACTTCATTGCTAATCCCAAATAATTCATGTCAATAAAATACCAACAGAGAGATAAGAAACAGAAACCAATTCTGTCTTTGGAAGAACAATCCTTCTGAACAGAACAACAAGCTGGGTGTTTGGTGTGGCTTTTAACACTGCAAAAAGCAGTAAAGCTCAGGGAGTAGGAAAGTGAATCTCTGTATGGATTTTAAATGTCTCTCTCTTGGTGATGGTCGTTTTCATTGCTGCTGAAAATCACACCTCTTTTTATAGCGAGGAGACCGCCAGTGGTTTAAGTTTAGATA